TCGGGCTAAGTTAGGGAATTAACAGAGCGGCCAGGGAGAGATGCAACACTGCCTTTGACTTTGCACTTCAGAGGTGCGAGTGCTTTGCCCCTCTGGAGAATCTTGAGAAAGACCATCATTATACATTAATAACAGCAGAGAGTTCTCCCTCGGCCCGCACTGCCTCTGTTTGTGCCCCCTATTGATTTTTCACTGAATTCTTTTGATGAGAGTATACTGTGGGGACTGACACTTTGATTATGTTTGCCGTTATTTGGTGTGTGTTTGGATGTGCACTTGTATGTTTGTGCCTTTGTGCAAATGTACAATGAATTCACTTGTGTATAAACTGAAACTTCTTACTAGATTTAAGCTGCGGTCGGTTTCCAGACAATATTATCCCATAACCAACTCAATGGCATTCTGTGTTTGCACGTATTCTTTCCTTTTACTTTCTTCCTTCAGACACATTTTTCTTCTTTTCTTCCTGTCTTCCTTTTGCAACTCGTCGTTTTGCAAATTATAGGCTTGGCATTTTGGGAAGGGCAGTTCACCCTGTTGGTTCTTCACAGTTGTGTGCATTTGTCCTGCTGCCACTCCAAGCGTGAACATTCAGAAAAAAAACCACAGCCAAAGGGGAGACAAATCTCATACAACATTGAATAAAAAAGGCAAGGCTTGGCAACGCATAACAAATAAAATGCACACACATGCTTGTTTGGATATCAGGACACATATAGAGGCAAAGCCAATGAATGGCTGTATTGTTTGGGCTAATTGTAGAGATAAACAGCTCTTCCTTGGAGACTTCTCCTCTTTCGCTGAATGTCTTTGGCTGATCACGTTTCGGTGACATTCAAACATGGGGCCAGAATTGAACACACACACACACACACACACACACACACACACACACACACACACACACACACACACACACACACCTGCCTACACACACACACGCAAACACACACATCTTCAGACAAAGACATGTTGGTGCGACGGTTTTACCAACAATGGTTTTCCCTGCTGTATATTTGGCAGACCTCTCTTCCCTTTGATATTAAAGTCATGGCTCATTCATTCTGAAGGAAATCGCTATATTATTACAAAATGTGTCAAATGCCTGGAAGGTTAGACTAAATTCAATACCGCTCCCCTTTGTCAGCAAATGTGCAATGTTTGCACATTTTCTCTTTTTTTCATCAAAAATGAACCACCACCTTGGGGCGTAAAGACATTTGGTGTTAACTGCCTTTTGTTCCAGTGAACACAAATCAATGTGTCACTTTTTACATATGATCCATGACATATTCATTTTGACTTTTTTTGTATAGATTCCTACAAAGAAATTCATGTCACCAACTCATATTCACAATAAATAAAAATCATGTCAATAGAAAATTGTTGATTCATGCAAACAATTGACTTTGTCAATAGAACTTCTCCTGATTGTGCTATTTTAAAAGAAAAGTTCCATAACCTATAGTGTTGTTGATGCTCACACACATTCACTTTCAATCATACATTAAACATTAACATACATGTGCACATATAACAAATACCTGTACATATGTTATTATTCGTGAACCAGACACAATTCATTATGCATTCCGAATATGATTATAAACACTCATACATAATTCATGTGAACAAATTGTATAAGCTGTATTTAATCAAACATTTGAGGCATTTCTTTCCTTTCTCACCCTTTGTGTGACTTTAAATTGGCTTCTTATTCTCTCAGTAAAGGAAATTGATTCCCTTGATCGACTAATGATGGCTTATTGAAGGAATGTGTGTCACTGACAATAATTCTCAGTTATTCTTGCAGCTATGCCCTTTGGAAAATGCATGAAAAAACGTTGATATCGCACTCTGGCTTTTCGAGATGGTTTGGAAATGGAAAATTCATCGCAGATCAGTGGCTTAAAGGCCCTGAAAACATATTTTATATATCAGTTTAGTTTTTGAAGGATGCAGTCCTGCATGAACACAGAAAGTTAAGTTAAGCTTGTTTCACACTATAGTAAATCTCTCTATTTCTGGTTTTGCTTTTGCAACTCTCACTATTTTGAAAGCTCAGTTTGAAACACGTGATATCACTTCCCTGGTCCAATCAGAATTAAGCTCCAACGTCTCTAATGCAAGTTTTTGTATTCAACATTTGTTTTAACATATTTTCAATGTTTTATGGTCTTAGTTGAACTTCCTGTAGAGGCTAAGCCAACGCTTTAAGCCTCTGAGGATCCGCTATGTTGGCGTAATTGACGCACACAAAGTTTGCTGCTGAATAAAAGTCTGAAACAAAGTTTCCAGTTCGATACAGTCCATTTATTGCCTTTTCACTGGTTTCCATTTAACTTGCTTCTTTCTCTCATTCACCATACACGATATTACGGTTCACACAATACCTTTTGCAAATGTTTGTAATCCCGTGTTTGTGTGTGTGCTCCGTGTGTGTGTGTGTTCTCCGTGTGTGGTCCGTGTGTGGTCAAAAACTGTATGGCCTTCCGGCGGAACCTCTAACCACAAACATAGGTTCCTACCTTTATACCCACAGTGTTAATTGGCTCCTACACTTCCCTTAAGTAAAGGTAGAGATGAGAGTTAACAGACAGGGTTACTCCCACTGCTGTCAACCAAATCTGATCAAACCCAACGCTGTTATTACTGATGAAACACATTTTCTGAGTTAATAAAATGTGGTTAATTTGATTTATATTGTTGCTTATGCACTATTAAATATTATACTTAGCAGAGAAGTGCTTTAAACATACTTTTAGCAGTATTATTACTACAGAGGTGCATGATTACATAACAATACATGTCATTTAGATGAAACTTTTCTCCAAAGCGACCTTCATACACTTAAATACCACAGACATAGAGGAGCAATATGAGTTTGACAAGGGCTCTTCAACATGTTGACTGCAGAGGGCAGGGATCACACCAATGACATTATGAATAATAGACACCCTGTGCCCATAAGTGGGTTACACAGACACAATAGGCGCTTTCACACCAAGTACTTTGGCATACTTAGTTCCCAGAACTTAGTTCATCGGAACTCTTTAGTTCCTAGAACTTAGTTCATCGGAACTCTTTAGTTCCCAGAACTAAAGAGCAGATCGCGTTCACACCGGAATAAGTCCCTGAGGGAAGATTAGGCAAATGAAGCCGCCGACGTCACTTCTTCTTCTTCTGCTTTGGGTTTACTGGCAGGCCGCAAACAACTTCAAGGCGTATACTGCCACCCGGAGTCCCCGGCCGGAAGTCCCCGGAGTTGGGGACTGGCTTCAGTAGAAGCTGCTGGGACTCCCAGCAGCTTCTACTGAAGCCTTCCGAGTAAATCGCCAGAACGCCAACACCTCCTCATCTCCACCGCTCCCATGTTTTATTTTGTGTTGCCACAAGTTAGTCTCTCTGCGTTTGTGCGCTGGGCTAATGCTAATGCTAATAATGCTAATGCCATCAAATACAATGGCGGCTTCACAAAACTTTTCAGAGTTTTACGGGGCGTGGTTTGCAATTAGCCCAGCCAATCAGAAATTGGAACTTTTTTCTCTCCCAGGAAAGTACCACTTCTCAGCAGGAACTGAAAAGGGGGGGAAAAGTTCTCATGAACTAAGTTCTCTTTTTGGTGTGAACGCAAAATCCCAGGAACTATCGGAACTAAAAAATAAAAGTACGGGGAAAAGTACTCTGGTGTGAAAGCGCCAAATGTTGATACGCTGATCCACAAGACAATTATTCAATTTTTTACGCAAGAAATAAAGTCTCAGAACACAAAAAAAGGTTATGCAGTATTTCATAACATTTAACTTGCTATTTGTTCTAGATCCTGTCATCCGTGACAAAGTATTCCCCTTATTTACATACCCTCAATCCACTTGGGGATGTAAGACCTGCTGACAACGCACATTGTGCAGCAGTGACCCTATTTTGCATTTTCCTCTCCCCCCTCCCTACTGGTGGGTACAGGTTTATCACAGGGATGAATAACCTTACACGTGCCTCAGTCCCTGCACCAATGATCAGACCTCTAATCATCTGTTATTTAACTGAGCAAAAACATGACAACCCTGCTGGACCATATTATTGACATTAATGACTGTCTATAAGAGGATGGGGGGGGGGGGGGGGGGTCTTTGGTGCTGTGCTTCCTGTCAACACCGCTCACTGAAAACTGTCCATGAGGGAATTGATTTCTGAAGGAACGTGTTGATTAATTTATATCTGGAGTTCAAACATAAGAGCTCTCATGTTAACCCAGCTGGGTTCTTCAAGTGCCCTGTGATAACCCTTTATAATAATCAGTGGTTAATACAGTGAGAGTGTTTCCTGTTTGGAAATCAGACCCAAGCCTCTTAATCAGCTTGGTGCATCTTCCTATACTTTCATTATTGCTCATTACTGTCATGTGTTCAGAGTGTTTCCTGTAGCCTATCTTGCATTGCCCAGTCACTTGATTTGCACTTTTTGCACATACATATGCAATGATCTCCGGGCTGACCTCAGAGAAACTGTGTATACATATTGGAAAGGTCTCTTGTGGTTTTCAGTTGATTTGTGTGCAATAAAATATAGAAAGGCTAAATAATAAATACGTTTAAGATTCTGTTTTATTTTTCTTATACTGCCTCTGCTTTAAACTAAGAAAGTAGCTCCATTTCCAAAAGCTGTCACTTACTTACAAGTGCTTGGTGTTGTCACACTGTCATTCAGACTTCGAGATTATCACTAAATCTTATCTGGTAAACACACAATATGGGGAGAGACTCTTTGTAACGTGTTGCAAGCTTTAAGACATTTGCACACATTTTTCATCCTGCAGGAGGGTTTTGTCATCAACCTGCTCTCAGGGATTATGTTACATTAAACCATTACACAGTCTGTAGTCTACACGTGCACCATCAATGTGCTCCCGTTTGGGTTGCAGTGGAACAGGAAGGTCCGCGGTGCTTTGGAAGCGGAGCAGCAGGCGGGGTGGCGCAGCAGCAGCTGAGGAGGCCGGCGTAGGGAGGCAACGCTGCCTAGGAGCGCGGCGTGCGCACCGCAGGGACGCACTGATTGACAGTCGGAGGCACTGAGCTCGCCGCGCGGCACACTAGCGGAGCTCGCAAATTCTTCCCAGCCCTCACCCGCCTCGTCAAAGACAACTCTGTGTAACACCAGCCAGAGCAGCCTGGCGCAAACAAGGGAGGCTCTTTCTCTCCATCCCCTCGGACTCGGGAGTCTTCTAAATAAAGCAGGAAAAGGAACGCAGCTGCTATCCCATCCCCGCTTTACCTGTTCTGGACCCTAACCTGGCGTTCTGAAGTCCCCTGGAAACGGGAGTGGATGGACTAAAAGGTCAGGTTGCACTTTGCAATCTGAGAAACATTTTCTCGGTTTCTTTTTGTGGAGTAAAAGGACTGCGACTTTCTTTCGGAATCATTTTGGGGTTGATTTTTGTTTATTCTGAAATCCGGCATAATTGTGGCGCGATCGTGAGTCATATTACAAACCCTGGAGCCCGTGAACACTGCTTTTCATTATTTTTAATTGGAATAACGGCCAGATAATCAGGAGACTCTCGGGAGGAATTTTTGGTGCGTAATTTGGTCGATGCGTGCGGGTGCTGAGCCGCAGAAGTAGTTGTGCCTCCCTTGTTTTTTTCCACGTTTAATACCCCATTTTTTCCATGGAGTAGTCTGAATCACAGGTAAAGACTTGAAAGGAGCGGGTTTATTCTGTTTCGCCTGGAACAAACAGGCGGCTCTGATGCGCAGATTCTCCGTAGTATGTGGTAAATGACCAATGGGGAATCATGAACAGCTCTTCAGAACTCGAAGATGGGACTCGGCATAAAAACCAGGTACGTTCACACTACCTACAGTTGCGCTATGGGCTTATGAGGAGTGGTGCATCTGTTTTGGCGCAGTGTTACCACGCCGAGTTTGATAATGTGGCGCTCGGGTGATTCTCTGCACTGTAGAAACTGGATCTGCCCAGGAGCTTTCCTCCACTCCCCGGGCACTGGCACTGGCACTGGCACTTGTGTTCTTGTCATAATGTCTAAACAAACCCGCAGATCACACTGTCCCTCTGGCTATACTTGTGTTTAGCGGACACGGTGTGTTGCTTACTTTGTAGACGAACTGACGAGGAGATTAATGCAAGTGTGCAAAGGATGATAGTTGTTTTCGCATCTTTACAAAAATATTCCCCTCCCATGCACGCCTGTTCTGTACTGTTTGAATGTCTCCAAATCATATTTGTGTTGTTTTTAGTGCTAGAACACACAGGCATCCCTTCAATTGCTATACCACTCCAGATCTCTTCGGATGGGCTGAGACAGGAGTGGACGTGTGTTGTGTTTCAGCCAGGCAAGCTCACTTTGGGGAATAGTCAATGTTTCACAAGGTCAGTGGAGGGCTATTGACAGCCCATGAGGAAGAGAGGGCTCCTCTGGAACACGGAATCAGATTTCTGGGCAGTGAGAGAGCCTGGCGCCTTTTTGGAAACACATGATTCACCCCTCCTATCCTCTTACCTGATGGGGATGGATTTAGGTATTATGCGACATTACTGAAAAATGAAAGGCGCTGATGTGAAAACTTCCTCAGAGCCATTGCAACATCTTTGAGGAAAAGTAAATGTCATTAGACATGTTTGGCTCACAAACCTTGCACTTTTTGTCAGCAGAATGTATGAATTGTCATATGCTTCCCACGCTCTTTTCACTTAGCTCAATCCATCATTCATTTAATTACACTTGGACTTCAAACTAATCGAATATCAATATGCACATCATTCAGAAGCTACAAACTCACATGAAAGATGCTTGTGGGAGGGTCTTGTACTGTTCAAAGCTTGACAGGTGTCAGCCAGTATGGCTTCATGTCATATGCTTGAGTGGATATACCTCAGTCATTAACATGGTGGCACTCTGAACTGGACCTGTGTTTAAGTCCTCTTTAGCTATTAGTGTCTACAAGGCTGTAGTTTAGTTTATATATATATTATAGTTGGCTGATGTAAACTCTACTTCAGAGGTGGAGCTGATCAATAGAGGATTCAACCAACCTTCTGTCTTCTTTAAGTGGATATAGAAGAGGATTATACAGGTCATACAAATAGCAAATACTGTTTAGAGATTTCATTAGATGATTGTCTGTCCTCTCCCACTAGAATTTCTTTCTAAGATCAGCAAACTAGGAAAAATATCTCCTAAAGATACCCGATGTGACTTATTAATTTCTGTGTTCTTGAAGAAAAAAAGACAGAATGACTAAATGAAGCTTTAATATGCTGAATGGTAAGCCTCGAGGATGAAAATGCAAAGCATGTCCCACAACCCCAACACTCGCTCTGGATCAGACAGCATGGGGGGGGGGGGGGGGGGGGGGAGATGAGATGAGAGGTTGTGGGAAATGGGGCTGGCTAATGCTGCTATCTGTCCCTCTCCTCCCTACATCTATCTCTCTCCTTCCCCTGCACTTGTTATTTTGCTATCACACACAGACACATAAATACTCGTTCCTGCTCTGTGTGTCAGCCTGTCTCTCTCTCTGTAATCTTGAGTAGTAACACCAAACCTTTATCTCCGGCCTTGGTGCTATTGACACAGTCATTTCAGACCCAGCGGGGAGGGGCTCGGGTAATAGAGAGCTCTTGCGGTCTCTGTTTGTTTTGATATTACAAAACATGGCCCAGTATTTGTCTGGTGACTCTGCATATTTGATTTGCTGCTGTAGGTGTGCTGTCACTCATTGCCTTTTTTATTCAGACGGAGGCCAGTTAAAGAAAATCAGAGATTCAAGTGCAGCTTAAAATCAACCTTGAACTGTAATTCACTGGATAGACGCAGCAGAGAGCGAGGCTGCCTGGTCAGATCTGCTCTTAACTTGTGTAAATAGAAATGAGACATTTGAAAGAAACAAAATGGCCCCCATGTATTCAGTTTGAGAGAAGCAACTGTAACATCCATACAGAGTTTTTCTATGGAAATAAAGCTGAGATAACTCAGTGATGCATGCCAATATCAATAAGAAAGGAAAACATCTTCTCATTAAGTTCTCATTGAATTGATTGATACACTTCTCTTTCTCTGAGATTGTTCTGGATTTATTTGTTTGCTATAGAATAAACACAAACAACAAAGGATAACATGTTGTGCTTTAAAAACACCAATATTGATTTTTGTTTTGTTATTGCTGTTTCCATGGTAGCCATATACAATCAATGCCATTTATTTTGTCTCATCTGATATGTGTCATGCACACATACACCCATGCACATGCCTACAGTACATACTCACTTACTCACACAAACACTTACACACAGAACATTTCACTACTATACGGTCCATTTCTTTCCACACATTGCCCATGTACACACACACATACTCATGCCCATGCACACATAAAAAGAAACACACACACACAGAAGTCATTGAGACCCAATTGGGTTGCCCACTGGTGGTATTGATTGGAGGCAATCAATACCACTCTGAGAACTTGAAACTTTCCAAAGCACTGAGAGGACTGTTTGTATATTGGAGCAGCTGCTGTGCCTCTTGAGCTCGCACATTACAATGCATAAACAAACAAATTGAACTAAAAATATATATATTTTACAGACATTGTTTGTGATTTTTATCACCCAAGCTACAGTTTTAAACCATGAACAACATAAACAGATTAGAGACACAAAACCATCAATAAGTTATTAAATCACTAACTATAGTGAGGATCTTTATCTCCAACACATTTGACACAAAGCTGTAACAAGGCATGAAGGCTGACCCATATTCCCATTTAGCCTTGGATTATCTCTCATGAATTAAACAGGATGGTATGAAATAAGATCCTCACTAGACGATAAAAAAGATTTCATGATATTATCGCAATATCTAAAGAAAAGTATAGACAAAAAATGAGCTATCAGTCAAATTCATTTTTAGCTTTGTTTATTGTGCAAAAAATGTATATTGTTTAAAATAATCACACTGAATTATGCAGTTGTTTGATCTCGAAGATGTTGCTTTATTTAAAGCAGTCAGAGAAGTTAACTTGCATCCCACACATTCGACACAGAGCTGTAAAAAGGACGATGGTTAGTCTGACCACACACACACACACACACACACACACACACACACACACACATACACATACACACACACACTGCAGACCCACATATATCAAAAACACACTCGGCAGCGACCCAGCTCTGAAATGATATCAGGCTTGCATGGATTTATCATTCTGCACTAACTCACTCTAATATCCTCGCCCCCACATGTGGTAACTGTGCCACATCAGGCAACATAGAGAGGGCTTGATCATCCTCCATGCATACATCTCCCTAAATATCTTATAATTGGGAGCTGAACAGATAATTAAACATATCAAAATGCAGTTTTTATGACCAATATTCCAATTCAAATTTGGATTATCTCTTATAAATTAAACTAAAGTGTATAAAATCAGATTTCCCTAGATCAGGGGTTTTCAAAGTGTGGGAAGGTGAGCCTCCCCTCAGAGAACATAAGAACAGCCGCGCCCACCCCCCTCCCAATTATTATTGCTATTATTATTATTATCATTGTTGTTGTTGCTATAATGCAGGGGTATTCAATTGCATTTCAAAGAGGTCCAGTAAGATAAAATGAAGACTGTTTCTCTCCTCTTGTCTCGTCTCTGTGTGTGTGTTTGAATCTATCGTGCTGGCTCACTGACTGCACCGATTTGATTGGCTGAGTAGCGTCACCTCCTTAAAACATTAAACAATAACTTTTTTAAACCTTTTTATCTTTATGTTTTAAACATATTGTATACAACTCCCCCACTACTTGGACTATTCCTTGCACCCCTCTAGAATAAGCCCAAATGGTCTCAACCATATTGCATCAGTAATAACGTGCACTTTGTTGTTATCGTTATAACAAGATCGCAAGGACAGTGGTAGCGATCGGACAATTGAGTGTTGTTCAGTTTGTGTGTTGTGGAACATGCGTGTCCGTGCATGAAAATATACCACACACCCAATTACAATAGCATGTTCAATTCACTACCCTGGAAGTTAATAAAGTTGTTAAAGTTGGAACAGCCTGTGGACAGCCGTTCTTCCTTGCATGTCAGTCGCCGACACCTTACAGAGGACAGGCAAATCTAGCTGCAGCACGACCCGTATATTTTCGCACGCCGTGTTCTCAACACATATTTTTAAAACATTTTTAACATTTTCAACATCGTGGATAAATCCTTATATGTTCCCGGCAACACACTGAACGTCAATTTTGCCTCCTTATTACACTCATCCCTACTTTAGTGGGAACAATGAGTCTGCGTCTTTGATGCACACAGGAATAAACGCAGATCATATTCTGCACTTGATTTTGATCAAAGTCCATGCGGAAAACCCGCACTCACACAGGTAGGTGGAGATGAAGGGAATGAGCACTTTTACAGCCTTTTTGGCGAAGTGGGGGAACTCGGTCTCCACAGACAGCCAAAAGTGGGCAAGTGTCACTTTTCTCATCTTTTCTCGTTATTTTTTTTCTCACGCTGCGCCTCCCCTGAAGCTCTCTGGCGCCCCCCAGGGGAGGCGCGCCTCACACTTTGAAAACCGCTGCCCTAGATAATTATCATTGCTAAAATAAATCACGATTATCGCACTATCTACAAAAAGTTGAAAACAAATAATGCTAATTCATCTGCAAATGTCTTTATTGTACAAAATAAATATATTGGTGAAAATTATCACATGGCATTATGAAGCAGTTTGATTTGGAGGATGTTGTTTTATTTTTACCAGTCGGAGAAGTTGACTAAAGAATAACAATGACCACTTTTCTTACTTTGATTTACG